TGGCACAAAACACAAATAAACTTTAAAGATACCAAATAAACTGGGGTCAGGGAGATAGCTCAAAGGGCTGGAAGGTAAGCTGTGCTGAATATACAGCTCAAGGAACTATAGATGGAGTTCCTTTATTCATTGAAGGAAGCTGGGGGGCTGGAGCAATAGTACAGCAGGGCATTTGCCTTGCACGCGGCCAATCTGGGTTTGATTCCCAGCATCCCATATGGTCCCCTGAGCACAGCCAGGAGTAATTCCTGAGTATAAAGCCAGGAGTAACCCCTGGGCATCGCCCCCAGGTGTGACCCAAAAAGCCAAATAAATAAATAAAATAAGCAAGCTGGGGGGAGGGGCAGTTGCAGAGAGAAAATGAGACCATCTATCTCTCTTGTTTTTGGTGTGGGGCCACTCTCAGATACAGGGTTACTCCTTGGTTTGCACTCAGAAATAACTCCAGGAGAGGCTTGGGGGCCATATGGTACAGGATGTCAGGGATCAAATCCAAGTGTGTGTAAGGCAAACACCCTACCTGCTCTACTATTGCTTGGGCCCCGTACTGACCTCTTAAGGGAGTCTCATGTTTTAGTTTTTTGATGAATTTTTAGGAAAGTTATATTTACATCTGTAAAATGTTCCCTTAAATTCTCTATGACTAGAAGGACAAAACACTATGCCAGACCTACTGCCAGTAACCAAAGAACAGGTCTTTTATTTTTTTTGGGGGGGGGGGGTGAGAGGGACAGTGCGCAGAGAGATGAAACATGAAGTATTTACCTTCCATGTGTCTAACCCTGGTTCAATGCGCAGAATCATGAATGGTCATCCCTCAAGCACCACCAGGGATCTCTCCAAAGCAGAGCCAAGGGGCCAGAGCGATAGCACAGCGGGTAGGGCATTTGCCTTGCACCGCGGCCGACCTGAGTTCAATTTCCAGCATCCCATATGGTCCCCTGAGCACCTGCCAGGAGTAATTCCTGAGTGCAGAGACAGGAATAACCCCTGTGCATTGCCGGGTGTGACCCAAAAAAAGCAAAAAAAAGCAAAACAAACAAACAAAACAAAACAACAGTGCGATGCCAAAGCAGAGCCAGGAATAGCCCGAGTATCCCTGGATCCCCAAACCAAAAATAAACAAGTAGGGTTTTTTGTTTTGCAGAATTTTATAAACTTCAAAAATTACTAGGGGCCAGAAAGATAGTAGAGTGGGAAGGGAACCTCTCTTGCACACCACTGACCTAGCTCCAATCCATGGCAGTCGTATCGTCCCCCAAATCCTGCCTGAAGTGGTCACTAAGAGCCAGAAGTAAGCCCTGAGTACTACAGGTATGGCATAAAAAAACAACCAGGAAGGCTATTTACCTCAGAAAATACTTTTGCATTTTGTATTTCAATCTATGTCCCAAGACATTAAAACTCTGGCATCATTGCCTCACTATATGTATCTCACACAAGGCCAAACATCACACCAGTTACCTGACTAACTTTCATACTATTTTAACAGTAGAAGAATAAAGCAGACCTCTTCAGAGGTGGCAAGAAAGATCAATGGGAGCAAGTCAAGTAACCCTAACAAGTTTGCTTCTCTCTTGGGAACACCTGATTCTAGAACCACAGGACTGCAAGATGAGCCTCTCACAAGGCAGCCTAGATTTGACTGGCTCTGAGGTCAATCCGAAGAATGTTCTGTGTATCTCAATTTTTTCCCCTTGAAGTAGAGGGTAATTAAAAAAAAATCAGTAAATATTAAGAAATTCAATTCTGGACTAGAGAGACAGTACAGGGGGTTAGGTTAGGCCTTGCATCCAGATACTGTTGGTTCAAATCCCTGGCACTGTATATTGTCCCCAAAGCACTGCCAGGGATTACTCCTGAGCAAAGAGCCAGGAATAGGCCCTAAGCACCTCCTGGTGCAGCCCATGCACCCCTTATCCCTAAGTCCCCAATTGATGAGCTTGGAGACAGTATAGCGGATAAAGCACTTACCTGGCAGGTGGCTTATTAAGTTCGACCCTCATTACCACATTTGGTTCTCAAAACACTGCCAGGAGTGATCCCTAAGCAGAGCCAGGAGATAACAGCTAAGCCCTGAGAACAGCTAAGTATGGCCCTAAACCCTACTCCCCACCCCTCCACCCCTGCATACCCAAAAAATCACTTGAGAAAAAAATGCATACGTTTTACCAGAAAGCAAAGTTTGCTCTTCTGATCAATCATATATCAAATGAAGTCAGCATCTATGTTTTGAGAGACAACTTTGATTTCTTTGAAAAATTTCCTATCCAATGAGGGGAAAAAATTCTTTCAATTTTTTTACTTTAATCCCCAACAGGAAAAATAAATATTGTCAGGTTCCAATTTAGGTAAAAAAGAGTTGAAGAAAAATAATGGTAAAATCAATGTCAGACCAACCCAAGCACAAAGTAACTCAAAGGAACAAACCAGTTCATGACAAGAGCAAGAAAAAGGATAATCACATCAGACGGACTGTTTCCAGACGATGAACCCCAATAGCTCCAGGGAAAAAGTAATAATACTAATTCAAAATGGTGATGCTCCTCTCTCATTATCATGCATACTCCTATCCTGGACATTTATTGTAGAAGTTTCTAATTCAGGGAGGGGAGAACAGTATAGTGAAACTGGGAACCAAGCTGAAGCAGTTTTGGATAATCCAGATGAGTTCTCAAGATATGAAATGCTAAAACCATCTCTCAAGATATGAAATGCTATGGCCAACTCATTTCCTATCAAATCCAGTGTCTAACACTGTGCCTGGGGACACAGTACATATAGTCCATCCAAGCATGCTGCAACAGAAATCTGAGCATTACCTGGCGAAAGAAATAAAACCTGGATCCATGAATTCTCAAAGAGCAGGGAAAACATACTCTTCAAAATAAGGTGAGAAAAGTCTCATATAGACTAATGAGTAAGTCTTAAGACAGGTAACTCTTCTAATCATTTGGCAGAAAGTCAACCGTTCTGGGCCCACAAGAGCTACCTTAGGCTAGAATTACCAGTGAGGAACAAACTTGCGATACACCTTCACTGTGCAACACACCATTCCCAAATTACAGCTAAATTGTCCCATCAGCTTCCCTCCCCACATCTTGGAATCTACCCTTCCCCTAACAAGCTTGGGGGGGGGGGGGGTTCAGCAAAACAAAAAACTTTCAGCGTTAAGAATACATTAAAACGGGATCCTCCAAACCACTCAATATAGCACAAAAGATCCTAAGCCAGAGCTAGCTCTCCACATTGGGGAAATTTGCAAGTGAAGCCCTATTGGTGGATAACTGAGTTTGCTTCTCTATGACCTCTAGCTGAAGGGGAAAAGAATCCAGACAGGGACTGAGACACTCAGGAAGGGGAGATCAGGATCAGTGAGTCAACTGCAGCGACTTCCACCTGACAAATTTAATTGGGAGGTGGGGGGGCTGGGGGGGGAAGGGAAGGAATAATCCAACGAAAAGAACTCTTAGACCACAGGGCTGGCAGAATCCACGCTTGCCCAGGCGGCCCAAGAAAATGAAACCAAATCTGATTAAAATGGACATTTCAAAACAAGAGACGTAGCAGCAAACGCACAGCTGCCATTTCCCGGCCACTTCCTGCGGGAGGCCTGGGGGAGGGGCTGTTTGTGTACAGATGGAGGTGGAAACCGTCGCCCCCCCCAAGGATGCAAATGTCCCTCCAATAAACGCTACAAAGGAGGACTCCTGGCGGTGTCCTCCCCTGGAAACTGGGAGCGTCGGCAACGGAGAATGCGGGATCCTCTTTTCCGCCACAAAACGGGGATCCCCGGGTAAGGGATCCCCCTGGCAAGTGATCCCCTCTTTATTCTGGCCTTCCGTGCCACAGCTCGGCTACAATGCGGCCGCCTCAGGCGCAGCCATACCAACCCCCATCCCCGGAGCGGGGGAACCTCCCGGGACGCGAGGGCCCCGCGTCAGGCTCGGCCCCCGCCAGGCATCCCTGCGGCCCGGGGAGGCACCCCGGGGCCCCCGCGCCTCTCCGCCGCCACTCGCCCCCATCCCCACACGCCGCTGCGCGGCTCACCCCGGCCCAGGGAACCCCCTCACCCACCCCCACCCCCCCCGGGGATTCCACCCCGAGTCCCCGCCGGAGTCGTCTCCGCAGCCAGGCGGCTTCTCCGCCGCCGCCGCCGGGAGCCCTCGCCGCTCGCCCGCCCCCGCCGTCCCGTCCCGGGTCCCGGCAGCCCCGAGCCCGAGCCCCTTCCTCCGCTCAGCCCCCACCGCGGGCGGCAGCTCCGCGGCAGACGGGCTCGGGCCGGCCTCTCCGCCCCGGCGGGCTCCGGGCGGCGGAGCGCCCAGCGCCCGAGGGGAGCCTCGGCGAACGCGGGGCGCCCTCCCCTCAGGCCCCCAGCCCCGGCCCCGACAGACCTGAGGCGGCGGCGGCTCCACCTGGCGCGGGGCTTGTCTCTCCCCGGGGGACGGGCGGTTCACATGGCCGCGCTCCGGGCGCCAGCAGGGGAGGGGACCGCGGGGGAGGGGGTCTGGGGTCCGGGAGGGGGGAGGGGGACGCGGCTCAACCGCGGGGCCCGAGCGGAGCCAACATGGCCGGCGGGGGAGGAGGGAGCCGGAGCCGGAGGGGGCGGGGAAGCTGCGGCCGGAGAGAGCCGCCCTCCGCGGCCTCCGCCGCCGGGTCCTAGTGCCCGCGGGCCGGACTCCCCGACCCGGATCTGGGTCCTAGCGCCGCAGCTTCACGGCCGCTCCCTCCGCATCGTGCGTGTCCCATTGTGGGCGAGAGTCCTTCCTGCTTCGCGCTGCAAACTGAAAGGCGTGCCACGGTCTCAAGGTTAACCTGAAAGACTAGCCCAAATTTCTAGGGCGGAACCAGGTGGCTCTCCGCAAACGCCAGCTGGGTGGTGGGGAGGCTTTTGGGAAAGTGAAGAGCAGAAGCAGCAAGGTTAGTCGGGAAAAGTTCGGTCCTGGCAAAAGGACTGGGGGCGAGGCAAGCGCTCGCGCGGCAATCTGCTGCCCACTCACCTCTGTCCCGTGGGGGCTGCCTGGTCCTCCCTGGATCACTTCCCCGGCATCTGCAGGGCGCTGGGAGTCGGTAAGATTCCTGTGCGTGGGAAAGGAGGCTTAGCTCTGGGAACCGACAAGACCCGGTCCAGTCTGTGCAAGGGATGAGCCAGGAAAACAGAGCAGATTAAATACCCCAAACGCCCACCTATCCTATACCTGGGAAACTCTCAGTATAATTCTGAAAGTCTGAAAACCCTGAAAATCTAACAGGAGTGGTTTGAAATGGACTGAAATGTCTATAGCAGGGCCTCTAAAGAGGGACAGTGTGGTACGACGTTAGAACTGAGAGAATGTCTAGTTCAACCTTCTCTTGTTTGTCAGATGAAGATATTAAGGCCCAGCGAGGCTTGCCGACGTGTTCAAGGTCAAGTAGCAGATAAACACTAGTAATCAGGCTTCCTTCCCTTGACACTCAACAAATTTGTACAGACTTCAAGATCATTCCTGCCCCACCCCCCGCCCCTTGAATTCAATGCAGTTCTACAAACTGAGTATTCTGAAGGCTAAAGAGTGGGCATGAAGAAACTGAACAGGGCCAGAGAGAGTACATCAGGTAGGTCAGTTGCCTTGCACACCACTGTCCTGGGTTCGATCTCTGGCATCCTGTTTGGACCTGGAGCACTGCCAGGAGTGATTCCTGAGTGCAGAACCAGGAGTAACCCCTGAGCAACACCCAGCGCCCCCCCCCCAAAAAAAAAAGGAAAAGGAAAGAAACTGGGAGGTTGGGAGTTCAACAAATACCTTTTCCTCTGGGGACGTGGGGTGGGAAGAGGCCTGGAAACTAGGTGGGGACAGCACCAAATCCCATGAGTCGAGATTGGATTCCCTCATCCCATGAGGAGGGTCGACTGTTTCAGAATTTGAGAAAAACCCCGCTCCTCACTACAAATGGCTGAGAACGACTAAGAGAGAAACAAGCTTTAGCAAAACCTCAAAGTGTGCGTGTGCCAGAAAGAGGGGCGGCTGGGGGTAGGGTGTGGAGAGGGTGGGTATCGTCGCCTTCGGGGAAGGAAAGTGGACCACCAGGGAGGGGCAGGCAGAAATGAAACTCCTCGCCTCTTGCCTAAATAATAAATTTAAAGGCCACCCGGGGGAAAAAGCAGCAATCTGTAACTGCCTTAGCTAGCCTTCAGGTCCCAAAGTAGTCTTTCCATTCTGGAGAAAGCAGGGACTCAGCAAATATCTAAATCGTGCCCTACCCTTTGCCCCCACGCACCCTCCCAAGAAATAAAGGCAGGGAAGACAGCTGAAGGAACTGCTCCTAGGAGGCCGCAGCAGACTGGGTAACCTTTTTTCTCTTCCCTTCTCCAGGGCAGAGGAGGGAGACGCTTCCGACCGACCGCCCGCCCCCGGAGCAGGGCAGGCGAGTGATGAGCCGAGGCCGCGTCGGGGCGGGGCCTGTGCCAGTCAGACGGGTGTGGCCACGCCCCTCCCCCACACCCACACCCACCCACCGCCGGCTCCTCTAGGCTCCGGAAGAGCCGGTTACTCTTGTGCCCCACTGACTGTCCCCCACCCCTTCCGAGCCCCAGGCCTAGTCTCCAGGGCAACCCCGAGGACTAGCCCAGCGTGGAGCAGTTGGGAGTCGGGAGGTGTGGACAGGAAAGGCCTACCTGGTATTAGGGGGGGAAATGGGGCGGGATCCCTCCCTCCTTCCCTCCTGGTGCAGAAAGTACAGTCCCCTTCGACATAAAGGGGGAGCCCTGCTGACCCCCATCGAATCACAGGCTTGCTTGCTCCTCGAGGAAGGATGGGGGTGAAGCCAATATGCCAACAGCTGGGTGCCTGCTTCTTGCCAAAAGCTACCCCAAGCAGCAGCTGTGCTTCTCCCCCTATCCAGACGACAGAGGGCAGACTGACCCCATATGTCCCCAAACATTCCTCAATCCCATCAGACGTGGCCAATCACCAACCGCATCTCCTTTTAGGAAGCTACTAGAAAGGGAGAAGGGGCAAATGGTCGTTTTTAAAGCAGCTTGTGAGAAAAGCACCTAGGGAATACACCTAGGGAACACGCGAGGCCAGGTCAGCGGGCAGAAAATGAAGAGGACAGGAAGGGAAAACTTAGCACCTGCTCCCCCTTCTCACTCTCCCGATGTACACCAGGACTCTAGGGTCAGCTGCCATCATGCCTGGCTCCTCTGGAGCCAGATGGCTGGGGCTGGGACAGGGAAGAAAGTCAAGGGAGCCGAGACTCGTTTGCATCCTCCTCTCCAGCTCTCTCACACTCTTCCTTCCCTTACTCCTGGAATTCAACCCTGAACACCACTGCCGAATACCATCTGCCTCCCCCTGGCCCCCAGATTCCTCCCAGCTCCAGGACCAGGGCTCTGAAGGGTATGAAGTAAATCCATACAACCTGTCTCCTAATTCTGCACGGGCGGGGAGTAGGGTTTGGGATGGAAAACGAGAGCGCAAGAGCAGAAGGGGCAAAGCTAGGGGCTCAGCTGGACTTTGGGGGGTAAACCCCGATGGAGATGGGGGGAGGGTGAATCCTAAAGAATTCCCTCCCCCCATTGGTGAAACCGGCTCATAGGCTAATAGAGCCGGAGAGGGAGAAGGCCGGCAGCCCACAGCCCATCCACTTACAGGGTTCCCTTCTCCAGGTTACTGCAACACAGACAGACACACACACACACACACACACACACACACACACACACACACACTTTGTGGAGGCTAGATTCTCACAACACATCAAAAGGACCCTAACAACCCCCTTTTCCCCCCTCCACGTCGCTGTGTGCCCTCTCTATTCATCACAAAGTCCTGGCTCCAACTCCCCAGGCGGGCTTCTCCCGGGCCGCGTCAGGAGAGGAAGGGAGAAAGCCCTAATTTCTCCAAGGGGTGGGGACTCCCTTAACATCTGAATAGAGCAAGCGGCCTTCCCACGCCTCCACCGCCCAGAGACGGAGTCCCGGCCCCTCACCCACGCCAACAGTCCCTTAAGCCCGCGGATCATAGGTTTCTGGGTGCCCCCTCCGTTTTCGGGCGCCTAGGGCCGGGGCATTCCTAGACTGGGCGACTCGCGCCTGAAAAAAGGAAGGTTTTCCCCAGGCGGGGCGGATGCTCGGCTGAGATCGGGATCCCCCGCCCCCCGCCCCAACTCCGGGAGAGGAGGGCTGCGGGGACAAGCCGGGATGGGACTCGAGTCAACTTGAGGGGCTCCGCGGGGCAGAGCCCGAGAGTGACTGCAGCCCGCGTCGACCGGCTCGGCGGAGTCGGGGCGGCGGTTATGCCCCCTCCCGCCGGAGGTTAGGATGGCGTGGGAAAGCGCCGGTTCCGGAGGGGAGGAGGCGAAACCCGGACCGCGGGAGATCTTCCTGGCGAGGACAGCGCGGGGGAGGGGAGATCCTGGGCCCAGAATAGGAGGTTCGGGGTACCCGGGGGAGGCCGGCCGAGAGGCGTGGGAAGCCTGCGGGTCCGGTCGCGGCGCAGAGGCCAGGGGAGGGACGGGCGGGCAGGTCGCGCCACCGGGGTGCGGGGAGCGCGAGAGGCAGCTCCCGCGGGGGAGGGTCGGGGATCCCCCACCCCACCCCCACCCCCGGCGGGGACCTGCCGGGGCGGCCGCCTGGGGACTCCGGGGCCGGACGTGAGTGCCGGGCCTCACCTGGAGCTGGGCCGGGCCGCGGGCGGCGGCGGCGGCGGCGCAGGTGGCCGAGCCGGGCGGCGGCGGCGCCTCCTCCCCCAGCCCAGGGCCGGCGGCGGCGGCGGCGGCGGCGGCGGCGGCGGCGAGGGGGGGGCGGGGAGGTTGCGCTTAAAGGGGCAGGAGCTACCGGGGAAGGACCGGCGCTCGGGTAGGGCTGTCGTGATGAATCCGCGAGGGGGAGGGGAGGCGGGTGGCGTCTCCTAGGGGCGAGAACCAGGAAGGATCCGGATGGAGGAAGGGAACAGAGCCCAGGAAGAAGCGACAGAAACTTCTACAGCGGAGTGGAGGACTCGGGAGAGCCCCTCCACAAAGGAGAGCCGGGAGGCCGGGGGAGTCCCGAGGACTCCGAGCAGGGGTGAGGGTGCCGGAGAGGGAGCCCAAGGCCGAGCTGCCGGGGCTCCGCGGGGGCCCGACGCGGTGAACAGGTTCCTCGCGCGCTTCCGCAGCCCCGCCAGGCCCCTTCCCTGCAGCAGGGGAAAGGTACCGCTTCCTCGCCCCCGGCACTGCCCAAGCCGAAGAAGCCTCTGGAATCAGGAAGCCGCGAAGGCAGAGCCCTTCTAGGCCTTTCGAAAGGCCCGTGTGGACCCGAGCGCGGCCGGCCGATACCAACTCGAGGCGGCAGGCCGCCGCGAGACCGTGAGAACCGGCTCTGCTCTAGTTCAGTTTCCCCAAACCGGGGTCACCCCTGTAGCAACCTCCGGGGCCACAGGAAGCAGCTGCTCCGTGCAGCCCCCACCTGGTGGTGGGCCCGGGTGGGGGAGGAGAAGACAGAGAAGACGGCCGAGGAGAAACGGGGGAGCGGGGCCCTAAAAACCCCTCCCGAAAGGCGCTCTCCTTCCTGCCGGGAGGCCAAGCTAGCCGTGAGATGCAAAACACTGCTTGAATCCCAACGGCTTAGGTGAGGAGGGGTGAGTAGCAGCGGGAGCGGGCCCGGGGTGCAGAGCCCCAGACTTCCTTGGAACTGGCCACTGTCCCCAGTCGGCAGTTTCACCAGCTGAGCCTCATGCCCCCTCGAGCCCAGTTCCTCGCCTTCAACCCCCCATTGAGCAAAGGTTAGGCCCCACCCCTGCTGAGTCAGCCAGGGAAGGAGGGAGGCATCCCTTGGGCCTTTGGGGGGGGGGGGGGGCTGGTCCTCTTACTCACCCATGTCCGGCTGGCGGGGCTCCAGGCCAGGGACCACCCAGCTCTGCTCTGTCCTTGCTTTCCCGTCACCTGAAAACTGGTGCGAGATCCTACCCAGCCGGGAGCTGGGTAGTCGCACGGATCCAGAGGCCAATGTATGCTTCCTGCGAACCACAGGGCTGAACTGCTGTAGGGTGATGTCCCTGTGTGACAGACTGGGGCGGGGAGGGAGGAGGCGAGGCGAGGGCGGGGCTTCTCCGGGGAGAGAGGGAGGAGGAAACCGCGAGGACTGGGCAGAGCCAGGAGAAATATGGAGGAAGGTTAGATCTGTGTTGACACTCCTGGGGCGGTGGAGGAGTGGTAAAGGGGGAAGGAAATAAATAGTTGCAGCTAGCAGGAGAAGGTTCTCGAATGATGTTGCGAGACGTGAACGTGGCGGGGAGAGCGGGGTGGAAGAACGTGAACGACCTTTAGGCTCACAGTTCGCAGGTCCGCATCTGGGTGCCTTGGGAAAACAAAGCAGAAAGGCTGCCCCGGCCCCAGCCCCTCACCGGTTTGCTGCCCCTGGAGTCAGGACCTAGAGGAAGTGCTCCCCCCGCCCCACAACTCAGCATTTCCCCCAATCCAAGATTTCCTGGGAGCAAACTACAGAGACAGGCGGCTCGGGGGCTCCACCTTCCGTCCAGATCTTGCTAGAGGAGACTGGTGCCAAGGACGTCATAGGCAGATGGGTGGAAACTTCAGAGGCCCCCACTCCACCCCTGGCGCCTCTCCCAGGGCCCCTCCCCAACCTTCAGCCCCCAAGGGCCTCTGAATTGAGATCTTTTTTGTCTCCACCCTGCTTCCAGCCTATTTGAATGCTTCAGGGGTGGAGCTAATGGATGAAGGCTCCTCCTCAGGACAAAAGCCCCAGCTGGTTTGTAAACAGTCTTTAGCCGAGAACCACATCCTAGCTAATGGCCTTCTTGGATTTCAAAATGGTGAGATCAGTGCGTGTTCCTGCACTGTCCCCAGTATCACCACCAGAGGGCAGTAGGTGGGCCTGGGTCCGTAAAAGTGTCACCAAACCTGACCTTGCACTTTAATAGGTTCTGATTTCCATCAAATGCGACATGCACGTTTGTGTATCTCTTCTAAGGGTTCACCTATTAGAAGGTTAAAATAATAGGGAAAGTATCTAATCCCATTATCTAGTTCATAAATCCAAAACTTTCCTAAGGCAGCTTAGCAGCAGCTCAGGGTATCTCTCATGGTATTTTGTGCGCCCCTCAGAGCCTCAAAGGATCACAAAGCAAGTCCAGGCTTGCTCAAGTCAGGAACCAGTAGCTATGAAGGATGAAGTTAGACACAGGGTTAAGCCCAGGAATAGACCCAGGACCTCACGTGCTTGTTCTGTGACAAGGAGCCACATCTCAGGCCTAGGCTCACCTTCTAGGTAGGTCAGTCTTCATCTTCCAGAACGTCTTATCATGGCTAAAGGACTAGAGACAAGCAAAAAAGTACAGAAACTCCAGGTTCAATGTAAGTTCCCATAGCAGGAGTAGCCCTCTAGAACTTCTAGCGATGGCCCCAAAACCAAAACGTGTGATTTCCTTTCATTAAACTCGATTAACTCCTGACTTGTCTTAAAATAACTGTTATTAGGGGGGTCAGTGAGTAGCGCTGACCTGGGTTAAATCCCTGGCACCCCATGTAGTCCCACAAGCCCCACCAGGAACGATTACTGAGCACAGAGCCAAAACTAAGCCTAACAGGAGCAGGTAGCGTGCCCACCTTACATGCTGCCAACCCAGGTTCAATCCCCAGAACCCTGTATGATGCCCAGCCCACAAAGAGTAACCCCTGAGCACCACTGGGTGTGGCCTCCAACATTTTTTAAATATGTATTAATATTTTTCCTCCCAGTACACTAGGCCAGGGAGATAGCTTAGAGAAAGAGGACATCCAGGCTTACCAAGTGTGGTCCCAAAATCAAAGGAAAAAACAAATTAACAAAAAATGCCTTTGTTTAAGCAAACCCCAGTGTTATTTACTATACTGAGGTGAAATTCAAATTGCTTTCAACAAAATTATGTGGAAGGCCGAAGTTCAGGCTCTGTAATTTATATCACATCATCCACAGCAAGTCCTTACCTGTTAAAAGGGCCTTTCTGGGTTGGGGTGCAGGCTTTGCATATCAGAGCCCTGGGTCCAGTACCCAGGACTACATGGCCCCCAGGGCCCAGTGAAGCAAGATTGCAGAGTATGGCCCCAACAGAATATCTTTTTTTTTATGACCTCATTTCAAACATGTATGTCCTACTGTTTCTTGTGACTAAAACTAACCACTTAAGTGTTGATACGCAAGCGTAACACCAGGCTTATATGCCTTCATCACTGCCAACAATGAGGTAGATAGGGAAGTGAACACTAAATTGAGAAACATGATACCCTACCATCATAAACCAGAGCCTAAAATTTAGGGGGAAAAGGTGCCTGCTATGGGTAAGGAAGAGAGAAGGAAACTGGGGACATGGATGGAGGGAAAGGACCTGGTGTTGGAACATCCTATCTCTAAAATGTAATCATGAATTACTTTCTAATTCAGTGACGCAGTAAGAAATTTTAAAAAGCCACATACACGTTTCTACATGTGTTCAAGCTTTAGAAAATCAAACTAGGGGTGTGGAGAGATAGCACAGCAGTTAAGGCACTTGCCTTCCATACAACCAACTTGAGTTCGATCCCCAGCATCCCATACTGTCCCCTGAGCACTGTCAGGAGCAATTCCAGACTGCAGAGCCAGGAGTGTCATCGGGTATGGCCCCAAAACAAAGTAAAATAAAAACAGTGTTGGTTGTTTTCTCAGAACAAGACGATTCTGGAGGATGTGAATTTTATTGGAAACCTTAAATATTCTTCAGACAGAACACAATGCTTTTCAACCAAGGCTCTCACATGCCCTTAGGTAAACAGACTTTTTGGATTAGGGGTGAGGACAGCACAGGGGATGAGTGTTTTTACTTTGCCACAAGGACCCCTCACGAGTGCTCTTCAGCCAGCTTATCAGCTTTTGCCACAGCTTCTTCAATGGGTCCCACCATATAGAAGGCCTGCTCTGGGAGATGGTCATATTCACCTATACGGAGAGGGGGGGAAAAACAACTGTTAGGGGATGTCAATTCTTCTGCCTAGTGTGTATTTCTTAGCCCTGGAGGTCAGTCAGAGTGTGATGAATTTATGGCTGTCTGAGAAATCTTTTCCTCCTTACTCTCAGAAATCAAATTTACTAGCCTGAGTTCAAATTCTTGATCACGTTGGCTGTGTGATACTGCCAACAGATTACTTTAAACTTCTGAGCTTTTAGTATAAATCAAAGTGTTCCTCATAATGTGTTGTAATTCACTCTGAAGACTAGGCAAAGCTAAAAGCATTCAGTTGTATGTCAGTTAAGAATCAAAACATGTAAGTCTCAGGCTGGGAATGTGGATCAGTGGTAGAATGTCTTCCTCAGAAGTGAACCCAAGTTCACCACAAAATGTTCATTAAGGGCTTACTCCTGGCTGAACACTCAGGGATCGCTCCTGGCAGGGCTGGGAACCCTATGGGGAGCTGGGGATTGAACCTGGGTTGACTGCCTCCAAAGCACCCTATCTGCTATATACTCTTTCTCCAGCCCAATAGCAAGTACTTTTTGATTAAAAAAGTCTTTAAGTAAGACTTCAACATGTTGCTCGGTAACTGTCATAATGTGGAATATAGCAAGCATTCAAGCTTCTCTGTCATTTTTATATTCTGCTTGATATCCAATACCTCACCTGCCAAAATCTGCTGGAATCCTTTGATGGTCTCTTTTAGGGGTACCAGCTTCCCCATATGACCAGTGAAGACCTCAGCAACCTGGAATGGCTGAGATAAGAAACGCTGAATTTTCCGTGCTCGAGACACAGTCAACTTGTCTTCCTCAGAAAGTTCATCCATACCCAGGATGGCAATGATGTCCTGAAGGGATTTGTAGTCCTATGGAAGGAGAAGGGGAGCGATTTAAGAAGCCATAATACTTGGATTTGGATCCTAGAAAATGAACAGTCCCTTGTAACTGGAAAGTCGCTCTCTGCACAAAGTATTTTCCATCATAAGTGAAACAAGTACAAATTAATGAAGGGGAAGTTACACACTAGTGGTCAATTGTGTACTCAGCTAACATCAATGTCTTAATTTTCCTTCTCACCTGTTGCTATGAGAGAACACTAGATTCCGGTGCCTAAATACCTGAAAACTCAAGAGACTTCATTAGCACTCACTAGAAATCTCTGGTCTCGTCTTTCCTTAATCCACAGCAAACCACAACTGTCACTAGAAAAGAGCCTATCCCCTGATCTACTCCCCCAATCCCTTCTTTATGATTTTAGGGTCTCTGATCTCACTAGCAGAACTCACCTGAAGGATCTTTTGCACCCCACGGGCAACATCGTAATGCTCATTGCCAACAATGTTGGGATCCATGATGCGAGAGGTGGAATCGAGAGGATCCACAGCTGGGTAGATGCCCAATTCAGCAATAGCACGGGACAGCACAGTGGTAGCATCCAAATGGGCAAAAGTGGTGGCAGGGGCAGGGTCAGTCAAGTCATCAGCTGGCACATAAATAGCCTAAATAAAGCCAAGAAAACATGAAGAACCAAAACATGAAACCAAAGGTATTCCTACTTTAACAACCCCCCTTCCTCTAAACATTTAAGAGCCCACCTGAAGGAACCAGGGCAAATGCTTCAGATGCAGAAGACCAGAGTTTAACCCTGGCACCAGAAAGGTCCCAGGAACAAACTGGAAACAAACCAAAAACCCACAAAACAAAATGCCACCTCAAGAGTCTTTTTACCACCCAGAGGAGCTGCCAAGTTCATATATATCTGGTTCCTCTAGCTCTGTTTAAAAAAAAAAACTGACATTCCTTTTGTCTATACATTAATGCTGTCATCCACTTTTAGCATAAAAAAAATGCACCACTGTAGTACTTCATCAGAATAGTACATATTTAATGCTGTTTTCCGTGTAGCTCACCTCCCTGTAAGCTAAAAACTTTGTAGTCTACAATGACATGCTTACCTGGATTTATTTTAGTGTTTCCTAGAATTTTACACATTTTTTCAGAAAGCTCATGAACCAAATTGAGAGCTATATAGACAGAACTAAGTTTTATTCCTACCTCTCTCTCTACTCACCTTCACACAAATTAGGCCTGCCTTCATTTAATTATTCTTACCTGAACGGAGGTGATAGATCCCTTCTTGGTGGTGGTGATTCTTTCCTGCATGGTACCCATATCAGTGGCCAGTGTAGGCTGATAGCCCACAGCAGAAGGGATTCTGCCCAATAAAGCAGACACCTGAAAATAAAACATTATGGACATGTCTCAAGTGTCTTTATCTTTGACTTCATCTGCCTCATTCCAAAGGAAGGTCAATGAAACCAGTTGTCTCAGGCCTTCTCTTACCTCCGAGCCAGCCTGGGTAAAGCGAAAGATGTTATCAATGAACAGCAACACATCTTGACCTTCCTGGTCTCTGAAGTACTCGGCCACAGTCAGTCCCGTCAGAGCTACCCGGGCACGAGCACCAGGTGGTTCATTCATCTGACCGTACACCAGCGCCACCTGCAGTAATACGAATAGCAACAAAGAGCCTGGCTGAGGATGGAAACCATGTAGTCAAGGTCTAAGAAAATGACCTTCTCAGGTCAGAGAGTAAAGCCTAGTAAGGTGCTTGCATTACATGTGGCCAACCTAGATCTGATTCCATGAACCACTAGGAGTGATCTCTAAGCAGAGGCAGGAGTAAGCTGAGAAATGCTAGGTATGGCCAAAGGAAACCAAAGAGAAACAAAACTTTTTCATGAGTCATTTTGCTCCTAAATTATTCCTTTTAGATAAAAAGCTCAAAAATAATAATAATAAAAAAGATAACTTCTCATACTTAGGAGAAAAAAATTCCTGTAGGAAATAATCAAAACGAAAGGCTTACAATATGTCTTTCACTTTGAGTTGGTTTTCTAAGATATAAACCATCTCCCCCAAATTGGTTTTCAATTCATGGCACTATCTACCAAAAACAATGTCAGGAAATGTAACCTAATTTTAAAGAGAAAGAAAACAACCTATTAAGTGGGGGCTGGAGCAATAGTTCAGCTGGTAGGGCGTTTGCCTTGCACGTGGCCAACCCTGGTTCAATTCCCAGCATCCCATTTGGTACCCGTACACCACTAGGAGTCATTTCTGAGTGCAGGGCCAGGAATAACCCCTAAACATCACCAGGTGTGACCCCCTCCCGCCCCCCAAAAAGGGGAAAAACCTACTATGTGGGTTATCAGCTCAGTGCTTACCTTGGAGGTAGCATCTTTCAAGTTGATAACACCAGATTCAATCATTTCATGGTACAAGTCATTGCCCTCGCGAGTCCTTTCACCAACACCAGCAAATACAGAGTAACCACCATGGGCTTTGGCAACGTTGTTGATTAACTCCATAATCAGTACTGTCTTCCCAACTCCAGCACCACCAAACAGTCCTGGGAGAGGTTGAAAAGAGAATTAAGAAAATGTTTAGAAACCCTTATATTCCTCACAAAAAAGTGCTCCCAAATTTAAGCAAACTTAAAAAAAAATGCCGCCTACATTCCTTCTCAGAATGGCATCTGGCTTCAGCAAACTCAGAAGAACGAAAGTCAGAAGCTACTCATCAGTGAGGGATAATATCTCAGTACCCACTCATACCATGAAATTAATTATCTTTCTCCCCACATTTGGTTTGGAAAATATGTACCCACCACAAACATACCAATTTTGCCACCCTTGGCATAGGGAGCCAGCAGATCCACAACCTTGATACCAGTAACCAAAATTTCTTGCTCAACACTCATCTCTATGAATTCAGGAGCCTCAGCATGAATAGGAGCGAACCTGTAAAGAGAGAATCGGTGTCTATTCACCTTGTTGGAAGTTTCTCTCTACTAAGTCAAAATGTGAAGTTATGTCATTGAAGAAATCCTTTCGGGGACTGGAGAAAGAGTCCAGTGGCTAGGCTAGGGTGCTTGCCTTGCACACGGCCAAACCAGGTTCTATTCCAGATGGCCCCCTAAACACTGCCAGGAGTTAAGCCCTAAACACAGCTGGGTATGGCCCCAAAACAAAATTTCTTTCTTCAGAAATCAAATTTATAAGACACAGCAATGTGATTTCCTTTTACAGAGTCCTAGCAATAATTCTTCACTTCACATTTGAAAGTATCCCTAAATCAACAGGAAATACTAAGACCTACCTACAAGCAGTAGAAACCCCACAGTCAAACTGGAATTAAAACCCAACCAAGTGGGGTTTCTTCTGTAGGTCTTCATATTTTCTGCTGATTAGGAGAATTTCAAATGTGAAGTACTCTACCACTTGGCTACATCCCTGGTGCAGTATCCTTTAAATTTCTTTGGAGGAAGGGGTTTGAACCCTGTATCACATGGGCATATCTCTGGAGGAAAACTAAAGAGTGTCACAATGTAAAAAAAAAAAACTGAGAAAAATAAGTCCCATACCTCATCCTGAGCACCACCTGGAATGACCCCAAGCAGTCACTCAATAGTCCTTGAGCACTGCCAGCTGCAGCCAAACCCCCTCCCCCAACAAGATACAGTAAGAGAGATACTTACTGCTTGGTTTTGATAGGCCCTCTCTCATCAATAGGCTCTCCAATGACATTCATGATTCTGCCCAAGGTCTCGGGACCAACAGGGATTTTGATTGGTGCACCAGAATCCAGGACTTTCTGGCCTCTAACCAATCCTTCTGTACCATCCATGGCAATGGTCCTTACAGTGCTCTCACCTGTCAGATATAAAGACCGATTGGCCACGTGATATTTAATCCCGTACACGGCACCAAAGACCCAAGTTAACCAAGATTCCTCCTCCTCAGTTCCTTAAATTATGGCTTCAGCAAGCTCAGAAGAACGAAAGTCAATTTTTGATAAAATCATCACAGAAGGATTACACCCTGGTTTTTGAGATACTCGGAGTAAATAAGCTCTTAGTTATGCTTAACAAAATCGACTTACCCAAATGCTGGGCCACCTCCAAAACCAGCCTGGTGTCCCTGCCTTGCACTTCCAGGGCATTGAGAATGGGTGGAAGCCCTTCATCGAACTGGACGTCAACCACGGCGCCGATGACCGCCACGATGCGCCCGGTGGAGGTGCCCGCCTTCGGGGAAGGAGATGTCTGGGTCGCATAGTCTCTGGCTAATGCACACACACACACCAGAGAGAGTGGAAGGAACTGGGGTCAGTCGGGGCAGTTAAAGGTCATCGGAAGCCCCGTCTAAACCCACGAGGATTGGTGACTTCAGCTCAAGCCCGGCCTCCTTCCGCTTGCACGGAAGGCGTGTCTTGAGGGAGGGCCTGCACACTGTTCCCATCCCGCGCAAACCCCCCGCTAGTTCGAAAGCTCGGTGTCCCTTTTCGAGGCAAGGTCAATGCATCTGCCCGCGCTTTTCAGCCACACCGCGCCGATTTTTCCAAAACAAGACTAATCCGGGCCGGTGGAAGCGCCCGTGGGCGTCCCATTCTTGTTCTCTGACCTTCATAGGCTGCGGGACCCTGGCCCGGTCGTGCTTCCAACGACACAGATCCCGAAGGCCCGAGCAACAATCGCCCGCAGCTCAAGGTCACGGGGCTGCAGGCGTGAGCGCAGCTGCAAGAAGAGCCACTTACCAGACTGGAGAGCTGCCGGGGCCACCCGCAACAGGAGCTGGGCTTGGGGTAGCGGCGCGGAAGGACTGAGTCCCCGCAAGGCCCCAGAGGCCGAGGCGGCGGCCACACGACCCACAAGACCCAACATGGCGGAGTCCGGGTGGAGACTGATCGCTGCAGTGTTCGTGCTTCCAACATCCCCGGGGACGGGGCGTGGCCTGAACTGCAGTAAGCACTGCCATTGGATGAACTTACTGCTCATCACTCTTACCATTACTCTTATAGGGTAATAATTTCTCCTCTTCTCAACCATTGGTTGAAATAGGTGCTGATCTGAATTCCTTTTTCTACTGGTTACTGACAGGTTAGGGTCAACCCTTAAAGCTTCGAAATGTAATTGGACAACAGGGATGTCAGTTGGAGAGCGTGCTTGGCGGAACTGCGTGTATTAAAGAGGCGGAGTTCCTGTGGGGGAGCATGTGCACCGTCTTTGGCTGTCCTTGGGCCCTCTCCATGGGTAAGACCTTGAGCTAGGTGACAGTCTCTGAGGCGGGGGTTGGGAAAGTAGTAAGAACGCGTATCTCCTCTGATGGTGACCTTGGCCGCGTCAGAACGACTCTCTGAAGTCGAAATGAGTTTTTCTTTTTCCCTGGTGAGACTCCTAAGCTCCCAGGCAGCTAGCTCAGCAGGTCAGGAATACTGATTTAACACTTTACAGCTGTACAAATCAGTGCTTGCTTGGACAGCGCATACATGAAAATTGGAAGAAGACAGATCAGCATGGCTTCTGCACAGTGATGACATGTGAATTAGTGAAGCATTTCATTCTTTAGACAAAAGTAAACCATATAGGGCCAAAAATAAACCATATAGGGCCAAAAATAAACCATATAGGGCTGGAGAGAGTACAGTGCGTGGTTGTCGAAGGTTCAATCCCCCAGAGCCCCATAAGCACCGCCAGGAATGATCCCTGAGTGCAGAGCCAGGAGTAAGCCCTGAGCACCACTGGTGTGACACCAAGCCCAAATAAATAAATAAAACCTTTTAAAAAAATGTGGAGGCTATAGTACAGCAGGTTAGGGTACTTACCTTGAATGCAAGCTGACCTGTGTTTGATCCCCAGCACCCCATGATCTCCAGAACCCTGCCAGGAGTGATCCCTCAGCACAGAACCAGGAGTATCCCCTGAGTACAGTCGCCCAAGAACAATATTAAATAATTTTTTAATTATTTTCCCCCTTTTGAATTTATTTTTTAATTCAGTAACAGTGAGATACAGAATTACAAAGTTGTTCGTGATTGGGTTTCAGTCATATAATTTTCCAACACCCATAAATCAATTTTAAAATAAATAATGTAAACAGTCAGTTGATATAAGTGTACAAAGAAGAGAGAAAGAAAAATAAGACTTAGGACCTCCCTTTTAAAAAAAAAAAAAAAAGAAAAGCCTGAAAGATAATACAGTGGGTAATGTGCTTTGCTTGCACAGGCTGACTAGGGTTTAATCCCCACCACCATAGGAGTGCTCCCTGAGTACAGCACAAAACCAGAATTAAGCCCTTATCATTGCCAGGTTGGCACAAATAAAAAACCATGACAATGCACTAAACTTATAGGGCCTTATTACTATAGTATAAAATGAGTTGCTAACTAGGATAAATTACTAAGGAGGGGTAAATTTGGATCCCATAGAGATGTAGGACAGTTGTCTCAAAGCAGGGTAGTTGGTTGACCTCAATTGTGAAACATGAATAGAAATTACTAGGTTATCAGGAAATAATATTCCAAACACAAACTTGCATGAAATAGCAGATTCTTTTTGGGAGGAAGACTGGAATTGAGGAAGAGTAAAAGAGAGTAATAGAGATGAATTTAGACTGAAGGCCAGAGAGAAATATAGTAAATAGGGCATTTGCCTTGCACTCTACTAACCCAGGTAAGATCCACAGCACACCATATGGTCCCCTGAGCACCACCACGAGGTGATCCCTCAGTACAGAGCCAGGAGTAAAACTGAGTGCCATTGGGTGTGCCCCCTCCAGCAATTTTTTTTTAATTAGAATGAAAATCAGGAACTGTATCTTATTCATTGGATGGGAAATGAATGTAGAAGCTAAGAAGAGACTGATACGTGGAAGTGTTCTAGGGAAAGTGACAAAATGAATAGGACTATTTCTATTAAAAACTATATATATATTTATATATACTTATATATGTGGGCTGGAGCGATAGCACAGCGGTAGGGTGTTTGCCTTGCACGCAGCCAACATGGCCAACCCGAGTTCGATTCCTCCGCCCCTCTCAGAGAGCCTGGCAAGCTACCCATGATGTATTCGATATGCCAAACACAATAACAACAAGTCTTACGATAGAGATGTTACTGGGCCCGCTCAAGCAAATCGATGAACAACGGGAGGACTGTGACCGTGACTTATATATGCATATATGTGTGTATACATATATGTACATATATATATATGAGGTCATGGTGCTCGCCTTGCACATGACTGACTGGAATTTGATTACGGACACTTCATATGGTCTCTTGAGCCCGGCCAGGAGTAATCCCTGAGTAAAAAGCCAAGATTAAGCTCTCAGGTGTGACCCCCAAACAAAAAGACTGGGTAGATTCTCAGAGGGATAGCACTTTTTGTTTGTTTGGTGCCACATCCAGTGGTGCTAGCAGTTACTCCAGGCTCTGCACTCACTTAGTGGGGATTGAACAACCATATGTGGTGTTAGGGAATGAACCTGGCATGTGCAAAGCAAATGTCCTACCAACTATACTTTCCTGGTCCCAGGAAGCTCAGGCTTGATAGTTTGATTACAACATAGAGCACCACTAAGAGCAACCCCTAACTAGGTGTGACCCTAAAATAAAAGGTTTTTTAAAAAATATCTTTTTTGTTTTGTTTTTCCTTTTTTATAACTTTATTTATTGAGTCACCGTGAGAGCAGTTACAAAGCTTTCGGGTTTAAGTCTCGGTCATACAGTGAAACACCCGTCCCTTCACCAGTGCCCATTTTCCACCACCAAAAACCCCAGTATACAGGACCCCCATCCCACACCCTCCCCCTACCTGTGGGGCAGATGATTTCCACATTACTCTCTCTCTACTTTGATTACATTCAATATTTCGACACCAGACCCACCATTATTATTTGGGATTTTACCCCAACACTGAGATCTGCCGAAAAGGCAACAGTAGACAATTTGTTTTCTATTTCTGGTTATGAATAACATATTATGTCGCACGGGCACAGTAGTGGCTGTGCAGTTTTGGAATTCTGAAATTTTAACAATTAAATCTGGAGGGATTTCTGCCCAAACCTGCTGGGTTCTGAGATTTGTTCCTGAGTCTCTTGGATCATGGCTGTTAAGCAGCTTGATCAGGAGCCAGAGAGGCCGTTCGTGGAGGACGACTCGGGGTCTTGTTGGGACGGGGAAGAAAGGGCCAGCTCTACCCCCATCCCTCTCCCTCGAGGCCCCACGTGTCTCATCACTTCAGGCCCAAACCTGTCTGTCCAATGGCCTTTGGAGGATGGCGGAAAATATCTTTGTTTTTTGGAAGGCAAATCAAACACTGTGATCACTTGTGCAATCTCTCTGGCCTAAAAACACACAAAAATTTTAAAGGGAAATCAGGGCCAGAGTGATAAAATAGCAGGTCATGTGCTTATCTTGCCCATGGCTAAACCAGGTTCAATCCCTAGTACCCCACCTGGTTCCCCAAACCCACCAAAAGTGTTACCTGAGCACAGAGCCAAGAGTAAGCCCTAAGCACAGGTGGGTGTGGGCCTCCTCTCCAGGCCAGGAAAATAAATCCAGTTATGGAGATAGCTGAAGTGATAATATGGGTAAAACTTGAGGGCATAATGCTGAGTGAATACCGTATATACATTTTCAAGCATGGAATCTAATAAAAAGAGCAGAATGGTGGTTACTCAGGGCCTGGGAGGTGAAAAAAAGGGTCAAAGGGTGTTAAGTTCTGGGGATGACCCTTGGACTATGACAACAGAGCTGATATTATAGAAGGAGGGGGGAGGGGAGGCGGGGGGAGGGTTGGGGAACAGCACAGGACAAAACAGACATCTCTTTCCTCCTTCTCCTCCCCTTCTTTTTTTCCTCCAACCCTCCCGTTTTTGGGCTACACCTGGCAGTGCTCAGGCTTACTCATGGCTCTGTATTCAAGGATCACTCTTGGTGGTGCTCAAGGACTATATAAGGTTCCAGGAATCAAACCTAGATCAACTGCATGCAAGGAAAGTATGCTGCCAACTGAACTCTCTCTCCAGCTCTGAGGCAGACAACATTAACAGTACAGTAATTTAAATTATAATATATATGTATATATATATATATATATATTTATCTAGTTCTTACTCTCGAAGAACCTGGCAGGCTACCAGAGCATCCTGCCCACACAGCAGAGTCTCGCAAACTCCCCATGGCGTATTCAATATGCCATAACCCAGTAACAATGATGGGTCTCATTCCCCTGACCCTGAAAGAGCCTCGAATGTGGCACTTTCTAAAATCTCAGGGCTAGGATGGAGACATTACTGGTGCCTGCTCGAGGAAATCAATGAACAATGGAATGACAGTGATACAGTGATATATAGATATAGATATATATACACACATACATATCACACACACACACACACACACACACACACACACACATATAGCCAAAGAGATAGCTCAATGCAAAAGACAGCTGAATGCATGCTTAGTATATAGGTCTAGATTTGATCCTTGCTACCACCTTGTCCCTTGAATATGACCAGGAGCAAATCCAAATCACTGGGGCTGTGACTCCTCCCACAATTAAAAAAATTTAAATTAGAATAATGAAATTTAAAATTATGGTGACAAAATGCACAGCATAGTATATATATATTTTTTAATTTAATTTTTTTGCTTTTTGGGTCACACCCGGTGATGCACAGGGGTTTCTCCTGGCTCTGCACTCAGGAATTACGCCTGGCAGTGCTCAGGGGACCATATGAGATGCTGGGAATAGGTCAGCTGCATTCAAGGCAAACGCCCTACTCAGCATGGTATATATTTGAAAGCTGCTATAAGGGTTGTACAAAAGTTGCTAAGAGGGGCTAGTATATAGTTCAGTGGTACAACACTTGTTTTGCGTACGTGACACCCTGAACTCTATACCTGGCATTACCAAAAATTAAAAAAAATTTTTTTAAATTAGGAGGTGAAGAGATAGTACATATGGTAAGCTTAGCACTCAACTTGAAGGTGGCTGACCTGGGTTCAATCCCCAGCACCCGATATGGTCCCCCAAGCTCTGACAGCAGTGATCCTTGATCACCTCTGATTAAAGATCACTTAATCACTTAATCACTTAACTTCCCGTCAGTCGTCGATTTGCTCGAGCGGGCGCCAGTAACGTCTCCATTTGTCCCTGTCGCGTGCTAGTGTAGCCCAATGGCATCTGTTCTATCGTTCATGATCTTGACGAAGAAGTCTGACCATCTGGAAGGTGGGCGGCCACGCGGTCTTTTGACATCCCGTGGAATCCAGTCGGTAACAGCTCTAGTCCAGCGGTCGTCTTTAAATCTCATTACGTGACCAGCCCATCTGATTTTCGACACCTTGGCAAATGAGACAGCGTCCCTGATTCTTGATCGTCGACGGATGTCAGAACTCCGGATTCTTTCTCTCATTTGAGTGAAATGTGATATTCCAAGCATAGCTCTTTCTATTCTTCTTTGGGAGACCTGAATAGCGTTCTCATCTTGTTTGCGTAGGGCCCAGGTCTCTGAGGCATATGTTAATGCAGGAAGAACAGTGGAATCAAAGAGATG